TTTTTTGTAAAACAAAAAAAAATAAGGTAGTGTGAGTAAATAGATTCACAATATAAAAGAATTGTCCATAGGTGACATTTTAAAAAGCCTTACAGATCATCAATTTAGAGCTAGCATTTATTGATTGCCCTAGAATTATTGCTCTCACTCCAGTGTCAGTGGAAATACCCAACAGACATGAAGCAGTTGTTTTCACATGTGTGTATACCTGATATGTGTGTTTGCATTTGTATGTATGTATGTGTGGGCGGTGAGGGCTTTTACATTTTTTTGGTTTTTTTTTTAATGTATTAACATTTTTTTCTTATTATTTAGGTCTATTGCTATCACAAAAGGGCTGATAAGCCCCCTATGTGATCACCATAGCGCAGGTGGCAGGTTATCTTTCAAGATGAACTATTTTTTAATGTTATTTAACTCCCAAGGGGATCAAGCACATATAGCACTAGGTCCCAACTCAAAATCCATACATTAATTTTTTAAGTAGCATGGCCAGAGAGGTTTCTTCCCCCATTCCACATCACTGCTTGCAAGGAGATGCATTTGTGATTGACAGCTCTAGCTGCAGAAGCCTGCTCTGGAAACCAGCACTGTTGTTCACAAGGACGACGCAACCTGCAGCACTGAGTGGACTTTCACTTTTATGTATGCGCCATAAGTGCTGTTGCACTGGACCCCACATTGCTGACCAGTCAATTTTTATAATTTTATAATTTTATAATTTTTTTTTAAATTTTTTTCACACAAATAGAGCTTTCTTTTGGTGGTATTTACTCGCCACTGGGTGTTTTATTTTTTGCGCTATAAACAAAAAAAGAGCAAAAAATTTGAAAAAAAAAAAAAAAGGTTTTCTTTATTTCTATTATAACATTTTGCAAACAGGTAATTTTTCTCCTTCACTGATGTGCTTTGATGAGGCGGCATGGATAGGTGGCACTGATGGTCACTGATAGTCGGCACTGCTGGACACTGATAGGCGGCACTGCTGGGCACTGATGGGTGGCACTGCTGGGCATTTGTGGGTGGCACTGCTGGCACCGATCATCAGGGCACTGATCAACAGTGCCCTGATGATCGGTGCCGATCCATCCTCTGACAACTGCCGGTTCTCAGAAGTACTTTTCCTCACGCTGTGACAGCATGAGGAAAGTGCAGCCGATAACCAGCAATATCATTTCCTGGTAATCAGTGTGTCATTGGACACGGCTGATCATGTAGTAAAAGACCACTGTGATTGGCCTTTTACCATATTACGAGATCAGCTGTGTCCGCAGGACACAGCAATCACGGAGATCGCTGGGTGCGCGCCCCCGGTGTGTGCAGGAGAGCGTGTTCTGGGAGGACGTCATATGACGCCCTCCCAGAACTGGCCGGGCCGCAGTGAAGCCGTCATTTGGCTATCTGCGATCGGCAAGTGGTTAAAGGATACTACTTTAGGGTAACATCAGAGATCTATTAGCCTCAATGTCACTCATGTACCCTGTTGAAGCAATTAAGCATTTACAGGAAAACCAACATCTCACCATAGAAAGTATTTACTTGGGTACATCTGTTCAAAGTACATATTAAATATAGACACCAAAATTAAAAAAAAAACCCATTATAAAGCCACTGGTCCTGAGTCCAAAATTTCTGGGATAAAAGGTGAGGAGTTGGTGTTTTTTCAAACACTTTTTGGGATGTTTTTGTTTATAAACCTTGTCATGACAGGAATATGAAGACTTGTCTTGGGCTGGGGAAAGGGAGTTTCCTTATTAACAATTTTTTGAAGGCAATGCCCCATTCATGGGGAACAGAGGGTTTGTCAATATACTGTATATCTATATTATTGGTTGGTTGGCTACCAGTAGTGAGTTTCTGTACCTTGCATCAACTATTTTCGTTTGGTGAACCCCTCTTTCCCATCATATCAGAAATATAAGGACTGACAATTATGCCCCCTTTCTAAAAATTCTATTTACTTGGCTGCATCGGGCCTCAATACTTACAGTCACTGACTTAGAACACAAAAGCATCATGTAAAGTAGAACTGATTGGCACAAAGGACAGCTTATGTACAGTATTTCTTGCATGACAGGTTTCCTTTACAGTATCTGTGAACCCTTCACTGAACTTTGCTTATTTGCTCTCTTCTGGTCTGTTAACTATACCAATGAGTATTTTGCTATATCTCTTCTTTAACTGCAATAAAATACTTGTTCATCCTGCCATAAATGATCTCTGCCTCTGTTTACTATCAAAAGCATATATCATACCCATCAATCAAAATGGTTCCTCACATCACTTGTGCCAGTTTGAGCATGACCAGAAGTGACATCACTAGCCTAGTGATGTCACTTCCGGTCATGCTCAAACTGGCACGCGTGATGTGAAGAACCATTTTGATTGATGGCTATGATATGCTTTTGATTCATTACTTTTGTGAGTGCATTTTTTTACTTGAATAAAGTGTTCATACTTTATGGGGTTGCACTATGATCTATTCCCTTTACCCTTGATCATATACACCTTAATTCCACTGGATATCCAAGATCATGTTCCCTTAAAGGGCCAGAAGTAATGAAGTAGCTACTAAGGATCGACAGTGGATAAGCAAAATCTGGTTTCATCCCTAAGCGTGTATGACCTATCTGTTAGGTCAGAGAAGAAAGTGAGTGCATGGTGCACCTACCTGGGAAACACCGCAAAAGAGTCCGCAAGGTGGAGTAATATATATATGTTCACCATAATTCGGAGTCGCATATACAGTATTTTCTGGCATATAAGACTACTTTTTATATTAAAAAAATATACCCCAAAAATTGGGGGTCGTCTTATACGCAGGGGTATAAAATGTGAACCTTGAGTTTGTTTGGGTCAAGCTGGCTGGATGTGTGGTAATACTGTACATACAGTATACCGCGCTGAGCCAAGCTGTCTCAAAACAAATGTCCCTATGACAGCCCGCTGGATGTATGCTATATACAGTATACTGCGCTGAGCCAAGCGGTTTCAAAACGTATCGGTATGTCCCTACTGTAATCAGCCCTCTGGATGCGTGTATGTACAGTAGCTGCGGCTACATACAGTATACACTGGGCCAACCACGGCGAGCGATGTATTCTACTAATGAATACAAAGCCTGCTCAGATTGGCTGAGTCAGAGAGGTGGGCTGATGATGTCACAACCTCAGCCAATCCGAGCAGGCTTTGTACTCATTAGTAGAATACATCGCTCGCCGTGATTGGCCCAGCGTATACTGTATGTAGCCTCAGCTACTGTACATACACGCATCCAGCGGTCTGATTACTGTAGGGATGTACCATTACATTTTGAAACAGCTTGGCTCAGTATACTGTATATACCGCACATCCAGCGGGCTGACAGATTAATCTGTCATAAGGACATTTGTTTTGAGCCAGCTTGGCTCAGCGCGGTATACTGTATGTACATTACTGCACATCCAGCGGGCTGTATATATACTGTATACTGTATGTAGCCGAAGCTACCGTATTACTGCACATCCAGTGGTAACCATCTGATTTGTAATTTGATCCATATGATGACTGTCTTACAAATGTATCACAAGATGTCATTCATGAACTTATGATGTCAGAGGATGAACATGAGGATCTTGAAGGATTTTAAGTCGGTAAGTCATAACCATTTATTTAAAAAATCTGATGTTTTTAAATGGTGTTCCCTCGGAAGGGGGGTAGTCTTATACGGTGAGTATAGCCCAAAACCTATGTTTTAACTGGAAAATTAGGGGGTCGTCTTATACACCCAGTCGCCTTATACGCCGGAAAATACGGTAATTTGTTTAATGTGAGTGGATAATATAACACGTTTAAAGTGTTGCACTATGGTATATTTTTGTTTTATTTTGCATGGATCTGGAGTTTAAAGAAGCATTATTACGTGGAAGGAACACGTAACAGATTAGAAATTGTGGAGACACATTTTCCTTATAAAGCGAGTTTTTGGCCTATTATAATCTATAGGTTAATGGTCATGTTGAGCAGGGAGTGGGGGCCACAAGTCAAGCACGATGTTGATTATAGCTGGATGTTAATGCAACATATACTGGATTGGACGTTCATTATCTGTTAAATTTTTTTGGACTGTCACTTTATGCTTTCAAAGCTTATGGTTCTATTTATGATGAGATAGCGCACCGCATTTTTTTCATTTATTCATGGTTATGCACTGCCAACCTGGTTCTTTAGTCTGTCAGAATTGTCAACAAGTGCAGAGCTAGTATTTATTTACATTTACTCGGTGTTACCTGCGTACACTGAAGCAAGTAACCATCTAGTATTAAATGCTTTCTTGTACAATGAGAATTGTATATAAGTTCCAAAAATAATTACTTTAAAAGGTTACATAAGCAGTCTAATAACATTTTTAGATAAAAATGTGTTTTAAGAACTGTTATAAAAATGGTAAAAGCTAGGCAATGGAATGAGTTTTTACATTTATACTCAGTAGATCTGTCTTTGATTCAGTTAAAAAAAAAAAGTTTTTCTGATGAACTTATTTAACTTTGGTTCACATCAACAGTATTAAAAATTGTTTTTAAAGTAATTACTCTTGCACTTTGTTGGGTATAAGGGGATCTTGGAATCTATGGAAAAGTGTGCACAATTAAAGAACGTAATCCACTTAAATGTTTTAAATAGTAGAAGTATTAATTATTTTACATTAGTTGGCTTTCTAAGATATTCATATTAAATGAGGCAATGGGTATAATTGCTATAGAGTAGCAGATAAGAAACTGATAATCTTATTGCACATATTGAACTTTCTTGAAAAAGAATTAAAGGAAAACAAGTTGAGGTGCTATGATATAGATGCAAGGTACAAATAACAAATGCCTTTGTGTTCATGTTCTGCTACTTTTAGGATAGCTGTAATTGTAAAACATATAAGCCTTTTTTAACATATACATGGGGGAAAACAGCTGTGCAAATATACCCTCTTAACTCTTACCTTTTCTTTCTCTGTGCTTTAAGAACTGTCAGCACAGGACCATTACAAAAGGGATAACAGGTGCATGGTGTGGCAGTCCATGTATGTTTGATGAGTTCCAAATGGGCAGGGGTGAAGGTAGTCCAGTAGGCACTAAGGGCAAGCTGCATAGGAGTGAAGCATAACTCTGCAGAAGGGAAACAAAGAAACACGGCGCCTCTAAGTGTGTACTGTGAAGGTATTTAATAGAAAGATAAGTAGTAACCAATCGCATTTTGATGACGTCAGACGCCACACATGCTGATCCTGGACATCTTGGAGACTCTGCCAGGCTTTGCTATCTGTGCTACATGTGCACAGCACCATCTGCTGGCAGACACCTTGGAGATTCCACCAGGCTTACCATCAGTGTTACACATGCACAGCACCACCTGCTGGCGGACTCTATGGATCAGACACACAACAACATCTGGCTATAGATGTCTCACCCTCTTACCCATGAGCCTGTTTTTAAATTCTAAGATGTGAGTTACTACTTATCTTTCTATTAAATACCTTCACAGTACACACTTAGAGGCGCTGTGTTTCTTTGTTTCCCAGCACAGGACCATGCCTCAGTAACCACTGCTTTTTTTACATTCAAGCTGTCTGCATTTACAGTGTGGATAGCAATATATGTGCAGACCAGAGCTGAAAATAAAAGAAGGCATTAGGGATCTTGCTGGCTTGTGCACTCTACTTTCCACAACTGGCTTTCTAAAATCACATGGAATCGGGGGCAATTTTGAGATCTTTTTCTCCAGTGATTACTGCAATATAGAAAATATCATATATACTGTAGTGTTTGGCATTGATGACACAGAACCAATCAAGCAGATGCAAATGTTGTTTTCTCTTCAGGTCTGCAAGAAAACTGCTCTCTAGTCGGTATGGTGTAGAGTGCAATGTAAACACAGTAATGTGTACCTTGGGACTTAGCCAGGGTCCACATTGACAGAGTGCGAAATTCGCACTGGTTTCTGTGCGATTTCCACATCGCATCATGATCGCACCCCATTCACGTGAACCGCTGCGGATGTGTATGTTACATTAACAAACACCCCAAAAACGGTTCACAAAACGCGGTGCTTTGTGCAGAATCGAATTGCATGGGTTTGAATACGCATGCGATCCGATTCTGGCGTGGACAACAAAGGGTCCTGCACTATTTTTGTGCTGATGTGGTGCGATCTGAGCCATACAAAATGGATGGCTCAAATTGCACCGAAAGAAATTGCATGTGATTTGCACAGGAATGCGGTGCGGTTTCTGTGAGAATCACATGCGATGTGCTGCACCGCATCAGTGTGAACCTGGACTTAATGTGATACTAAACTCATGACACCGATTTAACAATATAAGGTCTCCCACAGTACATAAAACATGGTAATGCATTTATTTAGTACAATGAATCCGCTAAATATCTTCTCAACAGCGGTGTATATTGGTCATGTAGCTGGTTTTTGTGTCCAGCCGAGAGCTGGTTCAGCTTCTAGGAGCAGTTTTCGTTCTTCTCTGAGTTTCCTCCATGCAGAGGCTGCATGATCCATGACCTTCTCTCTGAACAGCGCTGACTGGCTCTGTGCCAATCACATGCAACCTCCAATAAGGTCTGTGTCCACGTGCTTTTATGGAAGGTGGTGTCTCCATCAATCAAAATGTGACATTTAACCCACTGCATGGAGGAAGAGCTGGATGGGCTCTGTATAGGATCTGTATACATGCCCTAATGCAAGGGTGTCAAACTGGCAGCCCTCCAGCTGTTGCAAAACTACAAGTCCCATCATGCTTCTGCCTTTGAGAGTCATGCTTGTAACTGTCAATCTTGCAATGGGGTTTGTAGTTTGGCAACAGCTGGAGGGCCGCCAGTTTGACACCTGTGCCCTAATGTGTAATGTCAAGATCATGTAACCTGAATAGCTCCAAGCATAGAGAAAATGTTCTCTCTAGCAACACATATAAAACAGAGCATGTGCAGACTTGCCACTGCTGCTCTGTGCAATCAGCAGATGGATTGGGGACAGTATAAGGAAAGGATCAGAAAACAACAGGATCAACCAGCCTTTTTACACACTGCAGAGGATTAACCCCTTAGGTTTCACAGTGAGTATAACAAGGATGCCTTCCTGCATATATAGATTGATTTTAGTATTGTGGGTTTAATAACACTTTAGGACCTCACCTTCTGAGTAGGTACATAGTCAGGACTTTCAAATCACAGGATAAGAAAAGGAAATGATAAGGAGATATATTTGCAATGTTGCTTGGTGCTCCCAGTTAGTGGCAGAGAACAAGATTTCATACATAATATCTGTGTTGGCACTATAATCCTGGGAACAGAACCACTGTCTGCACTAAGTTTTCCAACAGATCCACACCAATTTAATTTTTTTTTTTAACAAACAGAAAAGTGACAGATTTATGTGATGCTTTATAAAACAAAGCACAATCTTTATATGTGTATGCATTCTAAACTGCTGTAGAAATGAACAGACTTCAGTGGCTTGCATGTGGACTGCAACAGATTATATTTCTTCCATTTTATTATTTATTACAGGTACTTATATAGTGCTGTCTATTTACACAGCGCTTTACATATATATTGTACATTCACATCAGTCCCTAACCCTCAAGGGGTGTACAATCTAAGGTTCCTAACTCACATTCATACATACACATACTAGGGCCAATTTAGACAGGAACCAATTCACCTACCAGCATGTCTTTGGAGTGTGACAGGTAACCAGAGTACCCGGAGAAAACCCATGAAGGCACAGGGAGAACATGCAAACTCCAGGCAGGTGGTGGGGATTTGAACCAACGACCCTAGTACTGCCAGGCGGAAGTGCTAACCATTTAGCCACTGTGCTGCCACAGTGTGCCATTTTTTGTGATATTGTTTTGTTGAGTCATTCCTAACAAACTTACAAAACAATCACCCTCGAATAAGGAATTATTTGCACCAAATATTAATGTGTGCGTGAACTATTGCTTTACATTTTGAAATATCTATATAACAAGTAATTATTTGCTTGTGGTATAATTTGCTTCCAACTAAACTGAATTACATTATTTCCTTCAATTCTAATGTTCTGCTAAATGATAAATTATTTGTATGAAATGGTACGATTTTGTGTAATTTATGCTTTAAAAATATTTCTGGACATATCAAAAACATGAAACAGTAAGTAGAAACTTTACTACAAAAAAAGCAAAGCCTATTATTTGGAATAGCTGGAAAATGACACAAGCATCGGAACAGAAGTTCACATAAAACTACCAATGCCATTTTGTGAAAATGTATTTTGTGCTTGGTAAAACATAAGTGCAACACTGTTATCACCATTATAATGTTAGTTTGCTGATCCAATGTAGTCTAATTGTAAGAAATAAAGCCAGAACTGTGTTTAAGGAAAAAGCTAGCAGTTAGTATTAAATGCTACAACTCTTCTAGTATAAGGCATTAAGCACAAGCAGGCTTGCAAGCTATAACAACTTCAGTGCATATACAAAAACATAAAATCCACAGCAGGCCTTAAGACATTTTGCCAATTTACAGAAATCAGCAGCTGAGCAAATTAGTAAGTGAAATAGAACTCTCATAATCACTGACATACTGATTAATTCAAACATGCTTCTTAGTCCTTACAGAATGCATTGTTAGGGAAGTAAGGAAAGGTTTCAAAATGCTTAATTTTGTTCCTACAAAATTAAAGCGACACCAAACTCTGGTTGAAAAAAAAATCTATTTTTTTATTCTTAACTCAAAAAGCACTTTCTATTGCTCTCAGCCTCCTCCAAATCTCCAAGTTCCTTTTTTTTTTTCCTGACGTGATCCAATTTCCTGTTAGAAGGTGGCTAAGTTCATGCTCCATGGTCCCACTATATGTAGGAACATAGCCACTCGCTCTTGCTTGTTCACTAGATGGACTATGTACTAGGAAATATGGACTACGGTATTTGTAGTGTACATAGAGCAGTGCACATGACCACAACTAATGTGCACTGCTCATTCCAAACAAACGGAATTGAGCGGGAAAAGGAGAGGACATTACAAGGAGGCAGAAAGTCACAGTAAGAACCAATTTAATAAAAAACAGATTACAGGGCCATTAAATGGTGGATTCATATGAATTAATTTTGAACAATAAGGATAACATTTAGTGTCACTTTAATATGATGGATAGGATACCCATCATGACCTTTGCAATGCATTTTGGACTTCTGGTTACCTTTTCTGTACAATACGGCCTCTCTCTGCAGTATGAAATAGCTGTTATACCTTCTATTTATGGCTTACCTTTTACATCTTCATCTTCAATGGTGGTATTTGAACTCTCTGTTGACTCCTGCAGAGAAGCAAACAAGCAATGAGGACAAGAGAAAGCAGTGAAGTGGAAACCGTCTTACTGCTAAATCTAAAGCTACAGATATCATACAGTGATGTGGAGACTATAGAACTGCTAAAATATTGTGACTACACTAGGAGGCAAATAGACAACCTCTAGCAGATTCCTAGTTTTACCATTACGTTTCTAGTTACAGAACTAAAGATGCCAAAGCCATAAGGCAACATCTCCTGATCCAGCTGTTTATTATGAAATCAAAACACAACTGTACAGTATGCATATAGACGATGAGTCCTCAGAAAACCCTAAGAATAAATGATGTTAGGGGCAGAAATTATCAGAGAGTTTGGATTTTCCCAGCCTTATTGTTTTCTTCAAGATAATCTGGTGCCAGGTATGTTCCTATTCTCCTCCTACCCTCTTTCATACTCTTAAATAGACATGTTCAGGCAATCCAAGTATAGACAATAATGGAAAGCACTGCAAACAAATATACTGGTGGTTATATCTTCTCTGCATGTCCGACTATCATAGTTTTAAAGGACGACCTAGCAACAATTAGCCCACCGAGTAAAGCAACATTCAAACAAACTGAAACAGCACTGCCAAAGGAATGAAGGTAACTGGGCAATGTAGCCCAAATACACAAACACAATTTTAGATTTAACACCAACTGACAAAGAAACAACAAAACCACAAAACATTCATGGAAGTGTATCTGTTTCGACCATAGATAAATGCCTGAATTTTAGATAACAAAGTTGGCACATTCAGTAGAAAAGAAGAGATGCAACTTTCGTTTTTTTTTGTTCTTTGCTTTTTGATGATGAACTTTTGCTACAGGGAAAATGTACAGTCCAAAGTGCTTAAAGCAGCTGGTCAAGAATCATGTTTGCTTTGATGAAATTAGTTATTTCAAACCTGTAAACAATAATGCAATGAACTACAAATGGATTTTGCCAGGGGTTATTAGCACAAGGGATAGCCTTGTTGATACATATATTAACCACTGAAGTAATGTATAAGAGTACATGCTCTTTATAGAGCTATATAGAGCCAGACA